AACACGCACGCACGCACGCACGCACGCACGCACGCACGCACGCACGCACGCACGCACGCACGCACGCACTCACGCACGCACACATGCATGCACGCACGCATGCACGCACGCACGCACGCACGCACGCACACACACACACACACACACACACACGATAAAACTGAAGCTAGTGGTACCATTATGCTCGTGAACTGTCCGACTTGCTTTAGTTTCTGTTCCAGTCTTCAAGCGTGACTACTTCACGGCAAAACATACACTAGATTCATTTTGAGCATATTGTGCAGATAGTTACACGGCCTATAGTGTTTCCAGGCCACGACAAGGGTGGCTGATATAGCTGGCGTATATAACGTAAAGTTGGTATAATCTCGGGTAATAAAAGTAGCGTAAATCTCTTGGAGAGTTATCACATTCTCCGTTATAAATGACGGCAAAAAGTGATATTTTCACTTCGCACAAATGAAAGGAAAAGTCTGTAGGTAATCCGAAATCATACGGGAGAAGCTAACGCAAGATTCACATTATCGTTAAAAGCTTTTAATGTTAATGCATTATACTATTGCGTGGTTATGGCTATTTTTAGTGATGGGATGAAAATATAAAGATAGGAGAAGACACACAGACAGACAGACAGACAGACAGCCAGCCAGCCAGACAGACAGACAGAGTGCCAGAGAGGAAAGCGAGAAAGACTAGGAGAAAGTAAAGCTGAGAGAAAAAGAGAAAGAAAGAGAGAGCGAGAGAGAGTGAGAGAGAAGAGAGAGAGAGAGAGAGAGAGAGAGAGAGAGAGAGAGAGAGAGAGAGAGAGAGAGAGAGAGAGAGAGAGAGAGAGAAGAGAGAGAAGAGACAGGGAGCCGTTCCAGTTTTATGTATCGGTACAGCGTTGCATACTCGTTGTGAAAACTTGGCTAACTCATATGCTTGTGAATGTAACTAATTCCGCAGTACCATGTTCATACCAAATACGTACCAAATCATGTAGACAATGATTATAAAGTGAGAAGCATTTTTGCTGCACACGATAGATAGGATAGACGCGATAGGACGATACGAATGTTTTCTTCGTCAATTTAGAACGCAGGAACTTAGACTAGAAACATGGGCGTAAACTAAATATTCGCGTGACCGCCCACAGTGACTACTCAATGGAAATGTGACAAACTTATTATTCCAACTACAATAGTATATAAATGACCGCTAATCAACTTCTCCGAGCCCTGATTAATTTTACGTGCTGGTGGATAAATGACCGCGACTATATCGCATGATGTATGAGATTGTAATATTTCTAGAAAACTCTTAACAGCGATGGGATGTAAACGCTTAAGACTGGATGCGAAAGTTAAGTGGATACTAGTCGACCTCTCACATTTAAGAGGGCAAATCTTGAACGAGGATGTTAGCTATGCCGCAGGTGCCATGCATAATGAATTCATGCAGAATCGTCTCATCGCAAAATAGTGAAAAGAGTGTCGGGCGATCAATAATATTCAACCGATTCCTACGTTCATTTTCTTGGTGCCTGTACCCTCGTTCTGATCATTACATACCTAATCCCCGCTTTATTCTCCTCGAACGCGTTTGATCGCATTTTGCCACTTTTTACACGCTCTTTCCGTTCCTTCCCTTTAATTTCCTCCTTTCGATTTTTGCTCTCTTTCTTCCACACTCTTTCTTCACTTCAAATACTGGTTTTAATAATAAATCATGCCAATCACAAAAGTGGACGATATTTTCTTGCAGCTTTTGTGTGTAACGCACATTGTTAATGGCGTGAATTGTATCTATATAGGAAGATTTTTATCTGCGACAGAATGTACAAAAATCGAACCTGGACGAGCGTTAATTAAGGAAATGTGAAGCTTTTTTCTCACCTAAAATCAATGCTGAATCGTTACGTAAAAACCCGCGAAATGCTGAAAATCGAAGCAGTCTTGGAATGAATGTGTGCATCAGTGGCCATACAAACCGTGCAGTAGTAGCAGCCATACCCTCCTACCCGGACTACCATAGTCAGTCTTTATAGATCGATATATTCGAAAAAAAACTCTCAATGTGTGATCTAATAAAACGTTCTATGATAAGAAAATGAACGTTACTGGTATGTATGTATGTATGTATGTATGTATGTATGTATGTATGTATGTATGTATGTATGTATGTACTATGTTACTGTATGTATGTATGTATGTATAGTATTGTATGTATGTATTGTATGTATAGTATTGTATGTATGTATGTATGGTATGTATGTATGTATGATATGTATGTATGTAATGTGATGTATGTATGTTATGTCTGTATGTATGTACTGTATGTATGTAATTGATGATGTATTTATGTATGGTATGTATGTATGTATGTATGCCTATGTAAGTATGTATGTAATGGTATGTAGTATTCATGTATAGTATGTATGCTATGTATGCTATGTATGTCTGCTTATGTATGTATGTATGTATGTATGTATGTATGTATGTATGTATCGTATGTAATGTATTTTAGTATTATCATATATATATAATATATAATATATATATATATATATATATGTGTAATTATATAACATTAAATTCAAAAATATAGGTATAGCCCATCGTCCATCTATTGTAACTTAAATTTTCAGATAACGACGCAGCCTTTCAAGCAACTAGCACGTGTCTTCCGATAGGCTTTTGACAGATGGATTCTGTCAATTCACGGCCAATTCTGTTCAAATTCAAATTCAATCATTTCACCACTCTGCAAATACCATGAGAAAGGACGTTGTTCGAAAAGGCTCCATTGCATGTATAATGAAGAAATATGCGACATCCATATAGTATATTTTGAATTTATTGTTATATATTATACATTATATATATATCATATACTATTATATATATATAAAATATATATATATACGTGTGTTAGAATAACTACACTTTCTACAATATGTGCGACTAAATCTGGTGAATATAAATCTATTTAACGCTGTATTCATACAAATCTCATTTGGATTGACTAATGAATCTGTTTTGTACTATTGATAGTTGCGAAAGGGGGCCAGTCTATTGTCTTGCTGTGAAAACCCGGAGAGCAAGCGACCAGCCCGAATATTCGCGACGTTGCCGTTGAGGTTCTGCATAAAACGAGCACCTCTAATGTGTAAGTACAGACTCGATACTTGCGCAGTCAACGGCCGTGAGACAAAGTCGTAACGTGATCGCTTCCATCATTTTCTACCTACATTCATTCAGAGGCTCAATCTACAGCACAGCGGAACAATTTCCCATCAGTCCGTACCTTACAGTTATAATAGGCATGCACTGTAGGCATGCTTGAACGCACAAAAACTGACACAGCCAACACACACACAACACCACACACACACACCACACAAATACACACAACATGCCACTACGCACGGCGCGGCGCGCACTCCAACCCCTCCACCCCCTTTCCACACCACACACCACACGCACGCGCACACAAGCACACACACACACACACCACAGCTCACACACACCACACACACAAGCACAACACGCACACACATGCGGCGACACAACAAGCCCACACACCCACACACACGACACACACACATCCCTTGGGCCGTGCGACCACAACGCACAGCATCCGGGCCCCGCGCCCCGGGGCGCACCTTCGGACGCCAGCCACGCACACAGCTACCCACACCCCACCCCCACACACACACACACATACTTATGTATAGTACTCTATATACTATCATATATATATATGATATATATCTATATATATATGACGCCTATTCGCTCTCTCATACTCGTGAACCTTACACAACACGCGCCTAATCTCACGTGCGACGAGATTTCAAGTAAATGACATCATCTTGGATAATTTTTACCCCAATTTTATATGCATTTGAGCGCGACTAAATGACCAAATTGCGTCTATAAGTAAGCGTGGGTACCTGGGTTCAAATAGCAGTTAAGAACATCATTTTGTAGTATACGAAAATGACAGTATTGGCGGATACTCAGAGAATTACATTTAGATTACACACGTATAAATTTAGAATCGCTATTGCGTGGCAAAAAACATCAATTATCCTCATTATTTTACTCTTTTTAGCAAAAAAATGCATGTCATCTGCGTATGGATATACACGTATCTGCACGCAAGCACCGCTGTGCACACAAGCGCTCCTGCGCACATACGAGCATACATTGGTGTTCTGTAGCAACGTACAGCTCTAAAAAAAATGTCTTGTTTTTAACTAAACGTCAATTGCCTTACATTGTTAACTATTCGTTGCGCAGCGAATCCGCGTGGCGTTTCCCACACCAGTTAAACTATATCGAAAGCCATATGAGAAAACGCCTGAAGCCACTAAAAACTCGAACTTAGAAAACTGGAAGAATGAACAATCGATATTGGGTTCGATATTCGGGTGTATTTCCGGGTTATCTGTAGCGTGTCGCGAGATGGCTATCGTTCCGCATTTTATCCCGGAGTACATGAGTATATCTTATATCCTCTGCTTAATAATTGTTAATATTAGTATTAACATATTATATGCTTACAAATCTATCCTCTTTCATACAAGTAACATAGGTTTAGTCGCGGCTGTGGCATCCAGGCTTCGACATTATTACAGCCCGGTTCTGATAAAACCGGAAGATGCTAATAAGGTATTTTAAACGATAACATCAATTATTACGTTGTCGTGCAAATATCAATCCGACAATTGCGCGCAGAACTATGACTTCATTGCAATCTCTTGTGAATTGATGAGATATAGTTACCTTGAAAGATCAAAGGCGGCATGTGCTATAATGATATTATTAGGAAACTATCCGCTTCCATGTAAGCATCATCTAAATTTAGACGAGACGCGGGAGCTGGGGCCCCGCTCTTCTGCAAATATAGTCAGTGACGTCACACTCCTCTATACGATGAGTGATTAACTCCCATTTAAGGAAACATGCATCTATACAACATGCATAAGTTTTACCAGTTAGCAGCTACCAAACAGATGCATGGCAGCTAGCGCCGCGCAAATTCTACCAATGACTTGCAAATTCGCATTGAAACATTTTTCAATCCACTTTTCCCCTCTAACACGCAGTCCCCAGCTGGGCTATTATCTCTTTAACCGCTAACCGCAGGTTACTGAAATATATAGCGACAGCTAAACTGTGCTAGAATGCTCACTCTACAAATAACACACCGAGCACAAAACGGTCGCTGCATGCCGAAGAATACACAAACGTTTTCACAACATCGCATTCAATAAGTACGCCAACATTACCCGACTCTGAGTCTCCTATTGCGTCGTTCCCTGCGTGCTACGTCGATGGTTCATGCGTCCACGTATAACCCGCAGCTCGGAGCGTGTCTGTCACCTGCGTTGAGCGCAACCAACATCTGTCGACGTGCCCCTTATCAACTCAGACGCTTCTAGAGTTAGCCGACGAGGACGACATCCGGGGACTGTAACACAATTGTTCGCGTGCTATTTCCTGGCCGTGTACTAATCGGAGCGCACGACGATTTGCATTTATAAGCGTGGATCTGCCGTTCCGCCTGCTTCCATTGTCGTGACCCCGACCTCTACCCCGAGCGCAAACCGGTAATTTGCTCGTATATGTGTTATTGTAATTCCACGCGACATTAACGCGGCGTGTTATAAGGTTGCCATTCATGATAGCGGTATCCGATTACGGTTGTGTGGCGTATACGTGGCGCAGCGAGCGGGCAAATTACTTGGTATATATAATAATTGTACGCAGAACGTTTAGTCACGAGAGCCGTTTAATATTCTTTGCCTTAGAAATGAGAATACACACACGCGCACGCACGCACACATACACACACACACACACACACACACACACACACACACACACACACACACACACACACACACACACACACACACACACAACGACACAAGAGTTGGTGACGGTCCATCGCCAGAGCCGATGAGCAGCGCGAGATCATGCATTTGCGTGTCAATAACCCGATATTCGTGATGTCTGTGCATGCGCAAATTCGTTTCGTAAAAACCTCGCCCGCACCTCGGCGCGAAATCCCGAGAAAAAATCCGGGTCAGGATCCGGATCGGCGAAATGCCGAGGATGATGTAGAAACGCTCGCATACGAGGAGTATAATATTATATATATATATATATATATATATTATAATATATGTATATATCGGCTTTCAGTCGCGCTTCATTTCGTCGATATGGTAAACAATTCATCTGCCGTAACAAATAGGGGAAACAGGCAATCATTGCAATAGCGGCCGGCGACCACTTCAGAAGATGGAAGAGCCAATGACTGGCATGATTGCCATTGATGATGGAGGCATCTCGGCCGTGCAACCGCATATTTTATTAGAACTATATATTTTCTTTTGATATCAGCATCGTGAATAGCAAGGATATATATATCTTGCGGTTGAGGTGGAGGGGAACTTGGATTTTAATAGAGGCGTATCAGATTCCATCACGTATTGGAAAAAATTATAATGTTTATCGACGGACATCTTTTCCAATGCTTTATTAATCGGAAATTTATACATCAAACATTATAATGATGAAAAAATGGGATTTTACTTTAAGTTATAATTGAAAATTTGCATTTTTCTAGATTTCATAAAACGTTACCTACATAAAACAGTTACATTCAGCGCTACAAGATAAGATAATCGACCTAGCACTTTACATACGCGCGATTTGCGTGTACGTGTGCGATGTGCTGTGTCGCTCTGCGTGTGCATGTGCGTCTGCGTCTGTGCGTGTGCGTGTGCGCGGTGGCGTGCGCCTGCCGTATATATATATATATATATATATATATATATATACTATATAGTGCATGTGTGTGGTGTGTGTGTGTGTGTGTGTGTGTGATGTGTGTGTGTGTGAATGTGTGTGTGATGCTGTTGTGTGTGGTTTGTGTTGTGTGTGCTTGTGTGTGTGTTCGTGTGTGGTTGTGTGTGTGTGGTGTGTGTGTGTGGCCTGTGTGTGTGGTTGTGTGTGTGTGTGTGTCGTGTGTATGTGACTGCGTGCGGTTATGCGCGTGGTGTTATTCTCATTTTCTAAGGCAAAGCATATTAAAACGCCTCTCGTGAACTAAACCGTTCTGCGTTACAATATTAGTATATACAACGTAATATTTGCCCGCTCGCTGCACGCCACGTATACGCCACACAAACCGTAATCGTCATACCTCTATCATATAATTTACTTATACACTCCTTAATTTCTAGAACCCACACATCTTTGTACCCCCCATCGGCCACGCACGACACCACAACCCCCCCAACAATCACCACCCAAAAAACACCCCCACATGCAAACAACAAAAAAATTATTTTTTATTTTTACTGCAGAAGGCCCTTACCACACAGCCAACCGTTATTCTTTTTTGTGATTTCATATTAGTAGTTTGTTACAGTTGTGATATATTGTATAATTCTTGTTAGTTCTGTTTCGTATTCGTCATATTCAGTTGACGTTACGGTCACTACAGATCTGTTACCTCATAATGACATAGACTGTCATTCACCTTATCACAGGTATATCGTTTAGCGTTGTATATACGCCCTGTTCACCATTACAAATCATGTAACCATATCCGACATGCATTACCGGTTACCCTGTTAACCGTGATTCGTCATTTGAACCCCGTATGTACATATAGCCTCTGTGCCATCCTATACCTGTTAACCCTGTTACCAATCGACGAATGATTCATTATAAACGTGAATATAGTAGTTTCCAATATTAACAGTATCGCTTGTTCACACATTCCCCCCGTATCATATGTATACCCCTACATATATACTTACCAGTTACCCATGTTCCATCCGGATATCGTCCATTAACCATCTAACAATTCCGTGCCCCATCTAAAAGATCCCTGTATCACTAATTTGACTACGCGATGTAGTATTACAAGTTTAACCGGTCCATTAGTAATTTGACAATATCGTCCCAGTATACGCCTGTGCATAAAGTTACAGTTACCTATAATGACCTCGTATGCCGTATACAATTATCCAACGGTGCATATGTCAGATGGCAAGTTCGTACACGTATAGCCTGTGCCAATTACACAGTATCCCCCTGTTCCCCCCTAACATAGCATCATTCAACAAGTTAACACTGTTAACCCAGTTAATATCGTAGATTTAGACCAGTTCGTACAGTATACGCTGGACCATTCAACATTTACACCTGTTACCTACTATGATCGCATGTCACCAGTAAACCCATGTCCAAGGTATATCGTCAGAGATTTAGAGTTGTCACAGATATCCAGCTGTGCACTCTTACACCAAGTCTACACCTGTATTACTTCGATTACGCTCGTCCCGTATACCTGATCAACGTAACATGTCGCATTTACCAAGTTCGCACACGTATACGCCAGGTGCCACATTAACGCTTAATATATCCCCTAAATATCGCTAGCATGTCCACAGTATATCATGTATCCCGGTGATGATGTATCCGTCAGATTTAGAAGTTAGTAACAGATTAGCCTGTCCATTAAAGTATTCTGTTCCCTATATATCGACAATAGAGTACCGTACCAATGTATCACAGTGTTAATAGGTCGATTTGCCAAGTACTGTACCAAATAGCCTGTGGCCACCATTCTATACACCTGCTTACCATATATGCATCGATGTCAAATTAATGGTACCGAGTGTTCGTCCATTTTCACCGTAGGTACCGTTAACCTGTCTTAAAAATACCATGTGCCTTATCACATCGCCTAGTCCACAAGTTTACAATGTACAACCGATAAAATCGTTGATTTGAATAGTTATTACACAGTTATCCCCTGTGCAAATGTAAAACAGTATAAACCTGAACCCCTTGACATCGACTGTACAGTTCCATGTTCCACGGTGTCGTCGTTTAGAACAAAAAGTTTAACAGTACCGGTGCACCATTCAGGTTAACCTGTTACACTCATCCCGACCATGCTGTCACCAAGTTACATGTAATCACCGGTAAACTTCGTCCATTACCACAGTATCGATCCCCAGTATACCGCTGTGCACTTCACAATATCCCCTTACCCTCATATCGAATACCAATCACAAGCACCACTGTTCCAGGGTATAATATTCAAATTAGCCCCAGTATGAAAGATATACGCCTGTGCACATTAAAAAGTTAACCTGTATCACTAATATCGACTCGCATGTACCATTATACCAATGTATCCACCGGTATATCGGTCCATTGACCACAGCTATTTACAAAAGTATACCCTGCTTACCATTCAAAAGTATAAATACTCCTTTATCGACTTAACCTATGTACAATTACCATGTTTCAGGGATATGTCGAAAATTAACGTTGTCAAGGTTACGCCTGTGAATTACATTAACTGTTAATAATCTACCTGCTGTCAAGTCATACAATGTATACCCGTAATTCGTCAGATCTTAGCAACAAAGTACCACCAGTATACGCCTGTAACCATTAACACATATATGTCATACATATCATACGAACTTAACAAGTACCAATGTGCTAAGGTAATTGTATTCAGTATCGAACTTCAGACTGTGCAAAATTAAAGTAATGATATAACTAATTAGGACATAACAATGTAAACAGATTAAAAATGTTAAGGTGAATATGTAAGTTTGAAGTATGTTCACAAAGTATAAGCTTATGTGATCACATAAAACGCTATTACAAACTAGA